GTCCGCAGGTAACACCTTAGGTTACTGGAGACTCAAACCTCGATTTCCTTGGGGAAAACGTCAAAAAATTGGAGGAAAGTGGAAGGTCCATACATCATTGGATTCGTCTTGTACAGGACTATCGAATGGTCTGAATTTCAGATCATTTGGACCACTTCTACAGAAGTTATGGCAAAACGACGGTTTGCGACGGAAAAATCTGTCGCAAACCGTCGATTGACCAGAAATTAGGAGCGGTATTGTAGTGTTTACAATTCCCTGATACGGTACAATCACTGTATCATAACATGGTATAAGTATGATGATTCCGGTAGGGTTCTCTTCTAGGAATGCCGAGTGCTTTTCTACTTCGTTACCATTGAAGTGGGTGGTTTAGCCTGCAATTATGACTACATTCCATCTTAACTGTCTAGAAGGAGCTGATCCTGTTCATTTTCAGTGCACTTGACCTCACTTGTGACGCCACTTCAATGGCTCACAGCCCTCTACTCGTTATCTTTTGCTCTGAAATGTCATGGTAACAGAACTGTTAGCGGATTTTTCGCGGACGTAAGGACTGATAGAACTTTCTTTTCGTCCCAAATAGGGAGAACGGCAGTTGAGTTTTGCCAAGTAGCAGCCTCACTATGACACATCACCGTGTCTCTTGCTCACGGAAAAGAATCCGCAGCTCCGTCGTTTCACCGAAACTTTCGGTCCATCCGTTTTGCAAGAGCACCTGGCTTTTGGGCTCTAGAGGGCAGCTACTGGACGTGACAGTATTTCGCAGGTAGCCAACCATTTCAGCAAACATACTGCATGGCTTACTATGACTTTAAAAACAACGATTGCGAAAATTTCAAAGTTGATTATGGCACTATTTCTGTGAGTGGCAAGGTAACTTTCAATACTTTTCTTACAACGAGGACAGAAAACGAATGCATACGCATCTATTTGGAGAATCGGGTGAATCGTGGGGGGGCCGGAAAAATTTGGGAAAAAAAAAAAATGATAGGAAGAGAAAGACCTGGTAAGAAGTTAGTTAATCTCCTGCAGGCATGGGCAATAGTAATTTGGCAACTCGGATTAAAATTGGGCGCCAGGGTGCCATATAAAATGCACGTGTCCTACAGCAATCAAAAAAGCGATTTCGACGAGTTTCTCGTATGCATCGTGCGATTTAACGCTACGGTAGATACGGCCAAGACGGTTTGGTTATCATATATAATCCATGCAGCACACAGGTGGTCACTCATCATCCAATTCCAGATAGAGTGCGGTCGGTGTCATTTGTGGGCGGGCGGGCACGGTGTGATTATATGTCGATATGTTACAGCTTGATAGGGCACTGTAAGGGTTTCTTCCTTGATTAAAGCCCCACGCAGGGCCCGCTCAGGCGTGTTGGATTCTGCCCTCTAGGCGTATAATCCAGCATGTCTAGGGAATTTATCACTGTGCAATTCGTACAATGTAACTGTGAGCAATTCGTACAGGTTCACTTTCTCCAATTGCTGCGATATCACGGACTTGCCAACTCTTTGAAGTCGTGCAAGAGCAAAGCCTGATTTCCTTTCAGCTCAGTGACAAATGCGGCTATGTTTGAATGACATGGAGCAAATTACGTTGATTAGTATGTCTGTAGTGAAGATTACTGTAAGCACTTTGAGAAAGGTGAAGGTGAGAACAGCGATAGGGAGTAAGCCTGTTCTTGGGGGGTCACGGGCAGGACATCGTAGCTACAGCGATTGAGGGAAACCAGCGAAGTGTTCCCTAGCGGTCCATATGGCGTACTGCAGGGCTTCCTACTTCAAAACCGTTAGGTATGGATAAGGCACCTGGCGCTCGCGCTTGCGGCGACCGGAATGTTGGAGCCGTTAAACTAAGATACTTGAAATGCCAATTGTCAGAACCGTAGGCCTCTGCCTCACCCCGTCCCCGCTTCCCATCGCTAGTCGGTCGCACTATGAAACTACTACCTCTGAACATTGACAGAGGGTGTCCCACCCAACGAGAAAATGAATGGGAGGCAAGCATTGTGAGTAAAAGCCAGTAGGCATCTTTCAGAATAGGGTAGTATCGCGAAAGAAAATTGGGAGGTCTAATATTCAGGCACGAACTGCCCGCAAGACGCCAGGACTGTACTTATTCTACGATCGCGAAGGACGCTACAGTTGCCAAATCCTAAAAGAGAATACTTCATCGGTCAAGCTCTGAGGAGCTGCCTCCTGTCTTTAAACAGTATGTCCGTCATCGAAAAGCTGAGCTATTCCCCCTCCCTTGGAGGATTTCCCGCGCTGCCTTCTAACCTTCTTAGGCACAGTTTCAGCTATGGATCATCAAGCGGAGCTAAAGCTTTACTTATTTTAGCTCACCTCTTCTGTTGCAGGAAATCTTAAAGAATACAACTAAAATGTCAATAATCAGAGGTATGCCGCTCACATCTCAACCCCGAAATGATACTGGAATTAAAATGTTTCATTGCCTAAAGCGAAGCCTCGGCATTGTTGAGCAGGAAAATGGACCCGATGAAAGCGAAGGATTACCTACCACGTGAGTCCTCGAACTGATACAGAACTAAAAGGGGAAAGCGTCACTTCCAGCTGAACAACAAAAACAGTCACTTCTTATTTCCTCTAAGGTTTGTTCAGAGAGAAACTGTACAGTCGACTTTACTGTACGACCCTCGCCGTGTAGAAGGCGAATGGGTCCTCAGCTGCAGCAGCGTGCCACTTGATCCGATCAAAAGTGCACGAGAACGGGGCTGGGGGTAGTGGGAGCCGAGTGCCGTCTCTATACTCCACCCGCTCGGTGCAGTGCTTGCGTCGATGCCAAAATTCCGCAGCAAAACACCCAGCGGGAGAGATTAACTAGAAGTGAGAGGGCTCAGACAAGTAATAAGTTTGTCTGTGGTCAAGCGCGTGGCCGGCCGTGCGGCAGCGCTGGCGCGAGGTTCAGGGAGATGAGTATAGAGCTTGTCCGGGGCATTCGGCGGCGGGGGGGGGGCATTTTGCACTTCTGCTACTTCCTATCGACGTGTCGACCCATTGAGCCTTTTCGTGAGTTGACAGGTTTCACCACTGTGACTTGATGAGCTTGCTCCAGTTTAACAGTAGTTCTAAAGGGTTCATCAGGTAAAATATGCAAACCAGAACTAGTGGAGTAATGATGTGCAAAATGCCCCTCCCGTCGCTGAACTGCGCCGAGCTTGTCTTCGAGGTATTTGAGGGGTTCTGTAGGTTTAGATGCAACAAAACTCCATCATACAGATGTAAAAACCATATTTATTGATACTTTGTTTTCATAAATTACACTGAGGACGGACTAATGCCTTTAATTTCAGGCTATTCATAGTACTGTCGGTTTTGGTATGCATAGTGCTACTAATGGGTGCCATAGTTCTTAATTGGGCCAAGAGAAAGCAGAAGAGGGAGGAGGTCAGGCACAAATCCAAATTTAAAGGCAATCATGACGATGAGTTCTTTTTTCAGGAAAAGCAACTTGAACTGGCGAAAAAGTCAGCAGAGCAACTCAGCCATTCATCCACGACTGAGGAGCCGTCAACAAGTTATGGAGATATTCGAGGTCCCTATGGCTCGAAGGAAATTTTAGAGACTTTACAAGGCTTAGGATCAGATGAAGCATTCAAAGCTAGCGGTTCAAGAGAACAGGCCAAAGCGAGCGCTCCAAAGGAAAAGCATCGAACCGGCTATTCTAAAGAAAAGTTTCTAGTCAGTGGCTCTATGGAAACGGTCAAAGTGGGAGGCTCAAAAAAGTTTGGAGCTGGTGGCTCAAAGGAAAGATATCGAGTGGAGGGCTCAAAGGAAAAGTTCTCGAAGTTGGCGACTCTAAGGAAACGCTCAGAGTAAGCGACTCGAAGGAAAAGGGTCAAGTGGAGAGGCTCAAAGGAATTGTCTCGAGTTGTCGGCTCAAAGGAAGTGATCAGAGTGAAAGACTCGAAGGAAACTGCCAAAGAGAGTGACCCTAGGGATGAAGCTTCTCCAATTGCCCAGGTGCCACGGGAAGCAAAGGGAGATGACGAAGCTCCCGGCTGAGAGAGCCATTCAAAAATATAGATGAAAAAAACGTACTCAAAAAAGTCAACTAAAACAAGAACTCGTAATAGTCACTTGTTATGAATAAAGTTTTGTCTGGAAACCTGTGTTTAGTGGTATATAAATGCGAAAAAGCCCCAATATCTACAGAGTGATGGTCCCAAATAGTGCTGCATCACCACAGCAGATATGAGTGGAGCGTCTTATCGGACAGTGCTTGTCATGTAGCCGTAGTTCAGTGTCTTGTAGGGGGGGGGTGCCAGCCCTGGATGGGGGATACGGCGAGAGCGCTACGGAGGTTTTGCCAAAGTGGCTAGAAGGTCTACCTCCTCATCAACAGCCCATACGGTTCACTTCGAACAGCCCCCACATCCTGTTTCTAGCCACCATGATTTGAGATGTAGGCCAGTAAGAGCGCTGACCCCGCAGTGATTTTGCGATCAGACCCCACACTGACTCTCACACCATTACCACTCCATTCGCAGCGACAGTTACCAGAATTTTTCGGTCCATAGGCTGGCTAACTTTCCTTTTTCTCAGATCCTTCTCGATCCTACCTTGCAGAATAATCGCAAATGCATTGAATTTTATCTCACGTTGGAGGTATTATCACAATCATCATCAGTTGGAGACCGCTTCCCACTTTTGCAAGCGGTCGCACTCTTTTTCAATTCACTTGTCACACCCAGCATTCATTCTTGGACGCGCAGAAGGGTTTTCGGACCACATACAGTCCACATTTACAATCATGATCCCTGCAAACAATGGCATGTGAGGGGGCGTGGACCGGAGCGCTGCCAAGGCGGCCTTTCCATCAATGATCTCATCCTGAGTCTGCAACAGAAGGGCCATTCTGGCAGCGATCAAACTCACGCTCCCTCACACGCCCCATCTTCTGCAAGATCATAACTGTAACCAAGCATAAAAAGAGGCTTTAGGTGCGGCGAGGGTAGGTCCAGACGAAAGGGAGGCAGAGATGTACGCAAGAGAGTGGACAGCCGATAACATAAGCCGCCTTCGGTGGGACGCTCCTCTGAGCTCTGCTCTTAACCCGTAGACTGCAATATAGTGTTTCCGACTAGGTCGAATTCGTGCCAACCAGTTCCTCCAATAAATCTGCACTCACACCTCACCACATTCTCTAATCGCGCAGGCTCGGGAAAATCGGTGTAGATTTCACGCTCAGAACGTACTGCAGAAAGCTGAGGAAAGACCCTGGCGCAGTGGAAAAGTCTGTTCGGGTTCTGGCCAATGGCGAGAACTACATGAAAAAGCTGAACCTAACTCTCGCTGTGATATGAGTTTATGGACTGGGCGCGGAGCCTCAGGCCAGAGGCTCCCGACGTACGTTCAAGCGCGGCGCCAGCCCAGAGTAGCAAAGACTGGCGGGAACTAGCTTGCGTCATGCCGAACAGGTACAGCCGCTGTGGCATATAGGAAGGTCGTACTTTTCCGCTGTGGAGGGGGAAGAGTGTCGTATGTGCAAAGAGCAATTTGCTGCGTTGAAAAAAAAACTCTTCCTGGTTGTTGACCTTTCGCGTAATTTTTCCTGTTTCATGTGTACCATCCCCCCTCTCGACGGGATATTCTGAAAATTTTGGGTGAAAAACTGGAATGTGGGAAATTGTAGGTAGATGTTGGGAAGAAGAGGGGTCGTACTGAAACCCCTATTCAGCCGGGAGGGGGGGGGGCGTACCTACACCAACATCTCTCTCGGAGGGGGGGGGGGATCGCACCTACACCAACATTTCCCTCATCCTACGCTGCTATGCAATGCTGTACCCTGGTACCGAAACGTACGCACGCAGGAACGGCTCCACATAAGGCATCCATAATCGACTTTAGATAAGTTCTGTGGTCAGCAGGTCCCCGAAGCGTATTGGAGCACAAGAAAGCGCCTTTCGAGCGTCGAAATCAGCAGGAAACGGAAAATGTCTTACGGAGTTGTGCACGTCGCGCCAGATTGGCCATGCCCCTCACTATCTCACCAGCTTGACTGACGCGCGCTCCTGCGCTCATGGTTGAACCGCGATTGAACTGATCGCTGACAAGGTTTCTGTACTGACCCCAAACACTTGGCTCAATTCCCATTTTCTTGAAATACGGCCCATTTCATTATGTTTCTCCTGTTTAATGAACATTTGCTAATGCCTGGTGCTTATCACATTTCTAAGAAACACTCATCATCCGTTGGAAATAGGACAGCTTAGCGGTTGAAAGACTTTTGGATGGTAACAACATCGGTACCGTAGTAAAATATCCTCACATCCTCTTCAGAGAAGCAGCTTCCAGGGCTGTTAACTTTTGTCTCGAGAGTTTTCGGTCGAATCAGTCCCAACCATATAGCTAAAAGGATAGAATAACTTGACTCACTTAACCTCTGTCCATTGTTGGCACTGGTGCTCAAGTTCAGGATGAGCAGAGTAAGGATGCGAACAGATACTGATCCTTATAAGCCCTTTTCTCACACTATATCACAACTTATCTCCCTTCACCAATGTTCCTTAACCCCTTCTGAATGACCTGCTGGAAGCAGTTCCCAGTGTTGCTACAACTCGTGCTATGAACTTCGGGGACTTTCAAAAAGGTCCTGTGTGCTATCAGCTGCTATCACGTCCTGCCCCCACCAATAATGTTCGCATCCTGCCCCACCAACACCTCGTTCGTCGCTGTTGTGGCTTGGTGATCCTTCCCCTCTAGGGCCCCTTGCGATATCTTATCAGCTGTTATCACCACCCACCAATAGTGCTCTCATCCTGCCTTTTATATCACTTCTTGGAACCAGACCCCTACCGTTGCTGTGAAGCACGTTATGGATTTTGTGACCCGCACTTTCTGAGATTCCTTATGTTATCTTATCAGCTGTTATCGCGTCCGGCCACCCACCAATAACGTTCCCATCCTGCCCCCTATCTTACTTCTTGGGACCAACGCCCCGTCGTTGCTGTGGCCGGCGCTATGAATTTAGTGTCCCTTCCCTTCTAGGACTCCTTATGCCACCTTATCAGCTATTGTCACTTCCTGCCCCCTACCAATAGCACGACCTCCTACATCGCTTATCAGTTTGAGTGCACTATCGCTGTTTTGATAGACAGCTCCGAATACCTTAATGATGTTGACGTGCATGAAGATATTAGATGGGATAACAAATCAGCTGAGATAAAGCCCTCATATAAAAGCCATTTTGCTTCTGCTGGGTCTTCAGTTTTACCTAAGCTGTTCATTCGTCGACTGTGCGGAAGTAAGTGCGGTCCCTCCTCCGCGCAACCTCGCTGTTCTGCTTCACGGTTATTGCAGTGTACTCGAAGCTACTAGTACTCGGATTATGTGTGGTGTATGTATCGCTATCTTTGCGCTCTCGAAATGTCGTGTCCAGCTCGGTCGATGTGAAAATAAAGTGACAGGATTGTTTCGACACGGTGAGTGTTCAGGTTGATCCTATTGGGAACTTGACTTACTGTGCAAACGGCGAAAGCATATTATTTGTCTTAGGGGCAGCCTGATGCATTACGATTCCTCTATCGGCCTCAAGCTGTCTCTGTGCTTCCGAAAGTCGTTCCTCGTTTTCTCCAAGCACCTCAGAGTTTTGACCTCTAAAAGATAGCAAGAGTGTCTTGACGCAATTGGGCTCAGATCCCTTCGAAGAACCTATTCTGCAGAGCTGGGATCGTCGTAATAGAGAAAGGGTTTTGCACCTGAGACTAGGCAAGCTCCGAGTTGTGCGAATGCACCTTTCTTCGCTCAAAAGCGGTTGATGGCCTGTGTTCGCTTGCACGTTCACCCCAGTTGCGTTAGAAGCGTCGCACTGAGTGGTTTAGTGATGACATCACATGCGGCCGATATACGCACCAGGACCGTGATAATTTCGCACTGCTGAAGTTGCTGAGTTTGTCTTCGAAGATTGCTAGGAAATTCCGTTCTGCTTTTCTAGCACGTCGCCGCAGCATGGGATCTCCCAACAGCACTAGCGAACGCTCGTTGGGTGTGTGAGATACCAGTCGCGATCGCCCGCGCTTGACGCGAAGCTCTCCTCCTTCTCTTTAGCCCGGCTTCGCCAGGGTGGCTTGGCTTCGCAAAGCGCACATCCATAATAGAAAAGGAATTCCACAACTAAGCCGCTAAAAATTACGCGGTACTGACTGAATATAGATGAGCAAATTCTTTTTCCATTACCTGCATCCCAGCGCCACAATGAGCGCTTAACTTTCCATTACCTTGCAATTCACTCGCCGAAGCCCTATAAATGGCCGCACATGGAATATTTGAGGTACGTTAGTTGTGTATCTGTCAGTCTACCTTATTATTTCGTTTAAATCAGTGAATCCAAAGCTTGAAGGGTAATAAATGTCACCGAAACGCACAAAGTGTGACACTATTCACGTTTTTGATTTTCCAAAACATCCCGTTTTACGCGAGATAATACCCCCCCCTCCCCTCGCGATTTCTTCACATGAGTATATTGCATGAAGTGTAAAGGCTGATTGGACGAAAGACAACGGTGATGTTACTTATCAGCCCCTATCATCACTTATCATTTCTGTGACCCAACGTCGACGTCCCCACATCGCCCGCTACATCACTTACTGGAGTTAACGCCTAGCAGATGCTGTGTTATGAATATGCTTACCTTCCCATTCTAACTTCCCTTATCAGACCTTATCAGCTGCTAGCAGTCTTCCTGTCACGCACCACTAATGTTCAGTCCCAAATCCTGCATCATATCTTGGAATCAACGTCTAGACGATGCTGTGACCCGCGTTATGGACTCGGTGGCCCTCTCACTCTGACGCCTTCTTATCGGATCTTATCAGCTG